AAACTAGTAACAGCGCTACATGTAGCGATGCTACTTCCCAACACTGAAATTAACCAGCTGATGTAGGCTGTAGGCCTGTACCCCGTACAGAGCGATGCCAGGCATCATTATTGTAACCATATCCATGAGCACTATAGGCTTTGCTTGACCATTAAAAACAGATTTTTTTGTGGTTAGTATAATGAAGAGACGCAATAAAGTTCGTTACAAATTTAATAAAAACTGGTAAAGCAATCAAGTTCTTAAATAACTATTTAATAAAAAATCGATTTGGAACTTTATTAGATTTCCAGCCGACAAGAGCTGCAGATCAGGTGCAGCATCATGTCTGTGTCTGCCTGAGCTTGTGTAAAAACTTTCTGACTGATGAAAACTTTAAACAACAGCTCCGGACCCAGAATTTAAGCCTAATCCATCAGTTGTCGCTGTAAACACACCGCTGCACGCTGGCTACTGTTTCCGAGGAATAAATGTAATGCCACATATGATCTCAGGCAGACATCGGCGAGACTTGTGTGCTATCTGATTGTTGATTGTGATTTATTGGTTGCAAACAGCTGTGGAAAAGAGAGGAGCAGTTGTAGAAAAACAGCCGACATGCTCGATTTAAAACCAGTAGTCTCTACTCCCATTCAGAAAATCACTGCAAGATAGACCCACCCCCCAAAAGTACCGGTACTTTCGGAAAGTACTACCCCCCAAGCAGGGACTTTTTGGGTGGTAGGTAGAAATGGTATAGTATGGTAAATAAAGACCCTAGAACTGCTTTTTTTCCCAGTTCAAATACCTCTTTAAACATGGCCCTTAGAGATCGGAAGAAGAAAAGGAGCAAAGAAGAAACTAGAGCTCTTTACACATCAGTGACATCACTTGTAAATGACAACATCACCAAGGGACCAGACACCTGTGTCACATCTGAGTTAGTCTTCGTGGTTCAGCCTCAGGACATGTAAAGGACACGAGACTGTGTGTGGTGTGGTTAAGCGAGAGAGAGAGAAAGATCAGGTGTCTGGTATCAAACACTCTAGTGTTTGAAGTGACATGGGAGACAACGCTTCACTGGGTCACCTGTGTCCCTTGCAGACAGGCAGACACACAAAACACACAAACACAGGCAGTTTGATATAAGGCAGCAGATAAAAAGCTGGTGCCTGAGGTGCTCTTTGCTTCTGTTCAGTATGGAGGTAATGGTAATTACCTTGATGTTATTGTTATGTAGATTGAGAAAACAGAGTTGGGAGAGAGTTAAGTATTTTACCTTTGTAACAGTGTTGAGTGGACAGGCTTTGGCGTGTCCGTAACAGATACACATCCCTCCGACTGATATGTCCTTAATAGAATAGTAGTACTGAAAAGAGAGAGAGAAAACACGTTATAATGAGTATGACAGCATTAATGAGCATATTAGCAGTTTAAGTGGTGATTATGCTTGAAAAGGGATGTCCTGACCAACAATGATGGTGATATGTTGAACAGCAGTACTGGTAAATGGCAGTATTTATATAGTGCTTTTATTCAAAGCGCTTGTAATTTGCCTCTCATTCATACATTCCACAAACTCACACACTCTACATCCGGAGCTACAGCCGCCCACCTTCACAGGGCTCCGCTTCTTCAATCACACAAAACACTTCAAATCACAATGTCTCAGTTGCAAATGCTGTTGCCTTCATTTCAGCTGATTTAGTTTCACTTTTAACAAAAAAAATAACATTTCGACATTACTGAGTCTACTGTAACGTGAGGTCAAAACCTGTACCGATGCCCCATATAGTACAGTAGTGACTTTTATTATGATACGCATTTTGTAACAGTTGATCAGATTTAACCAATCATATGGCTACAATGAAATTTCTGCCATTATTATATTTTTTAGCAGTGAAAGAGTCAATATTGTGAAGCATTATATCTTGTAATACTGAGTCATATGATGATTTAATATCTGATCATTATGACTCAAACCTATGAGATAGTATCTTAATTATCAGACCTGGTAATAAATGCAAATATTACAACTTGCTATCTCACTGTTAAACCTTTAGCCATTTCTTCAAACATTACTTTGAGTAATATTGTAACCTTGTAAGTTGTGACTGAGATCTCTGACACACCTAATCACAATTCAGAGATACTAGTCATAACTTTGACTTACCATCATTTTAAAATGATGAGATTATTTCTTACTTTTGTCATCACCCTGGCAGATACTTATAATTTTTAAGAGAAAAGACAGGAAAAAGTGAGGTGCCTCACCCGTCTAGTCACGATGGGATCGATATCTCTTGGGTCATTGAGTGTCAGAGTCATGAGGTCGGCGTTCAGCGTTCTGATTCGCTGAAACACCAACCTGATGTAACGGGCAGAGGTGAAGTTCAGCAAGGTCGGGGAGGGGTCATCTGCACTGGGACGACCATTGATCAAAGAAGCGTGGATCTACAGACAGACAGACAAGTAAATACTGTCATCTTAACAGCAGAGTTCAACTATGACATTGTCCCAAGACAAACATTAAAGGTGCCATATTATGCTCATTTGCAGGTTCACACTTTTATTTTGGGTGTCTACTAGAAAATGTTTTCAGTCTTTAAAGTTAAAAGAAACAACATTATTTTTCTCAAACTGTCCATTGCTTTAACATCTCTATTCAGGCTCTGTCTGAACAACAAACGTTTTAGCTCCCATCTGTTTAAGGCTCCTCTCCCTAAAAGCCCACGTTCCAAATTCAAACAGTGTTTGCAAACACATTCACTGAAAGACTGAGCAGTAGAAAAATAGAGAGGATGTTTATTTCTCACAGTTTGGGGATCTTTAGACACACCAGGGACACATTTATGTTGAAAAAGACATGAAAAAGTACATTGTGCATAATATGGGAACTTTAAAAGGTGCTTTAAGTTTCTCACAGTGGCAGATGGTGGAAGGAGCAAAAAGCCTCTTCAGTGAAACCAAAACAGACAACAAATCAAAAAGAAGAGGAGGGGTAGCAACAACCCTTTTCTTACAGGAAACATTGTTTAAGACACATTTTTAATTAAATTTTAAAGTCAAGACTTTGGCAAATGAATACTTTTTCAGTATTTGTACTACACAACATTTAATTAGACAATAATATAACTGATGTTCAAAAAGATGCTTTAAAGACCTTTGATTGAAAATATACACATTTTAAAATGGTTGAGGAGAAAGAACAAATATACAGCATTAAAGGACTACCGGGAGACACAGAAGAAGAGGGTGTTTCTTCACAAAAATATAAATGAAACAGAAAAAAACCTGGAAGGTCTATAGCAGTAGCAAAAAGAATCATCTGCAGCCTTACAGCAAGCTGCAACCTACCCTCCTACCACAACAGACCAGTGACTTGCCTTTAACCTTTTCAGTCTCACCAAGCTGGAACAAACCATCTGCTCAGTTTACACAGGGTGAGTTAAACTGATACAAAAATGACTGCACAACAAGAACAAAGCGTTCATTTAATATTCCTGTTACTGCAGACAAAACACAATTGATCATCCACTCTTTAGAGGGCCAACTTAACCAGAATTTACCCTTTCTTCAACATTGTGACAGTGCTGAGTCAATCACTTTAGAGGACCTAATCATGCACACCTGTTTTTACTCTCACTGATTGAGCAGGTGATCTGCACCAACATCAGAAAGATTACCGTGATGCAAAACGAGACTTCTTCTATCCACAGAGTATGTTGCTTTTCTTCACCAGGATGCCTCATAACATGGACACTGGAAGACATTTTAATTTTGTCTACCAAAGAAATTTAATTTTTATATTGTAACTGCCTTTGTATATATGTAGAAGAATGAGACTGAATTTAAATTCTGTAACAATAATCAACAAACAGCCACATAAGGAGTGTGAGGTTCTGTCTGCCTGCCTGTCTGTCCATCTGTCTGTCTCACTAATGTGGCCAAAAGCAACATTTGGCATCTGCAAAAAAGTCTACAGAGTGGGCTGACCGTGTGTGTGTGTGTGTGTGTGTGTGTGTGTGTGTCAAGGGGGAAGACTTGATGGGTGTAAGCTGCACACTTAACGCAGTAGTGAAGGAGATAGTTGTGTATGTGTGCGTGTGTGATGAGTGGTGGGGTGACATTGTGAATGTGTGTGCGATGCTGTAACACATCGCCTACAACTCATTATGGTTTCACTGTGATCAGACGGCTAGGGAGCTGTCAACCCCCCACACACACACACCATACGCACCCACACACATTCAGACACCTCCGTCGTTACTTGCCGCTCTTGACATCTCCCAGCTCGCACCCCTCTAGCACACCCCCGCAGGACACAGACACACATACATTATAAACACGAAAGACACACAACAAACACACATGCATGCAGACGTGTAAGAGCACACACACACCAGCACATGTACATGCGTACACATATTCAGACAGACATCTACAATTAGAGGCTTGTGTGGGAGATGTAGATGTGTGATTAGTTTGTTTTTTACTGCATGTGTGTGTGTATGTGTTTGTTTGTGTGTTCCACAGTCCTCTTTCTCTTCATTAATGTCAGTTATAGCAAGCTTGGCCCTCTGTTCTCACTGGGTGCAATCACACACAGCTGATCAAAGGAACATAACAGTAAACAGTGGTGGGCAAGATGTGTGTGTCAGTGTGTGTGTGTGTGTGTGTGTGTGTGTTTTCAGTAAATTGGAACACAATTTCCAATCACTGGTTACATTATATTAACAGTTGTGCACATGTGAAAAGAAATATATCCACTTATTAGAAAACAGTTCCAATCTACGTATTAATTTGAAAACATTTAGTATTTCATTATTTATCCTGCTCAATACAGGACTACAGTGATGTCTTTATGAGCTTTTATATAACGACTTTTGATTTTGGTGTCATCTTAATTTATTTCACATTATCTGTTTATTATTCATGTCTGCTACTGTAGCAACATCACTTCTAGTTCCAACCTCTGTTATTCCCTTTCAGTCACTCAGTCCACATACCGGTGGAGATCATCTCTTTTCCAGATTATCTTATAGCCATTCAGTTTCAGCCTGTCTGCTTTTGATCTCAGCCTTGGATTTTTCCTGCCCACATGACTGCCTGCTATTGTACCTGTTTGGATTTGTTTGCCTTCTCTGTCTGCTAACAACGTACAGTAGATTTATTTAGTATGTTACAACACAAGTTCATATAACATGTTTAAGTTGTAGCTCCCTTTATGCTACTTACAAACACAAACGTTATATACAAAAATAATATAAATAGATGGGTGAATAAATAAGTCATGGAAATACAACTATTTTACATGGTGCAGTGCTGAGGGTGAATTTCGGAGTCACACAGCCTGAGGGAAGAAGCTGCTCTGGAGTCTGGTGGTACAACAGCAGATCCTTCTGTTTCTCTTGCCAGACGGCAGCAGGGTGAACAGGCTGTGGTGGGTATGTATCCTTTGGGGTCTGCCAGGCACCTCAGCTCACCGATATCACTGGGGCTTGGTAGATGGGTACCAAGGATCTTCGGAGTGGTGCAGAGCCCTCCTGTTCTGGGCCATGCACATCCAATGCCAGTTTGGGGTGTTTCCAGTCAGGATGCTTTCTAATGTTCCTCTGTAAAAGTTAAGAACTTGGCAAGGGAATTTTGCCTTCTTCCTTAAGAGATGCAGCAGTTTCTGAGCTTTCTTAACAAGCATGGAGATGACCATGTCAGGATCTCTGTGACGCTGATTCCCAGGAACCTAAAATTGTTCAGCTGCTCTACCTCAGCTTCCCTGATGTAGACAGGGGTGTGTGTCTTTGCCTCCTTTTTCCGAAAATCAATAATCAGCTCTTTGGCTCAGCTTAATCAGCAAAATGATTCTCACCTATCTGGCCTCCCTGGATCTTGTTGAGCAGAAGACACCTTTCTAACATATCATTGTCAATTGTAACAGTGATATGTTAAAAATGTCAGTAATAACATCAACTAGCTGACTGGCACATGTTTTTAGTGCACGGCCAGGGATGTTATCAGGCCCAGCAGCTTTAGTTATATTCACTCTCAGCAGGATTCTTCTCACATCTGCTGTGGATACTGACAGTGGCCGGTCCTCTGGAGGTAGAGTGGACTTTACAGCTGACTCTTTGTTGAGGAGATCAAAGCGAGCATAAAATGTGTTTAGCTCATCTGGTAACGTGGACATGATGGAGGCGCTCCTGCTTTTGTAGCCTGTGATGTTTTTGATCTCCTGCCGCATATTATTGGTGTTGTTGGTGTTGAGGTCTCTTTCTCATATCTGCTGTGTCTCCGCTTGCCTCACTGATGCTGGCTTTTGCTCTCGCTCTGGCGGTGCTGTATGCTTCCTTATCACCTGACTGAAAGGCAGCTTTTTTGGATAGAGCCCTCACCTTTCCATTCATCCAGGCTTTCTGGTTGGGGAGTGATTTTACTGTGTTAGTGATCACCACGTCATCAAAACATTTGCTGATGTATGACGTAAATGTTGCTGTATATTCCACAAGATTGATGTGGTTCCACTGGGTGGCGGCCTCTCTGAACATGTACAAGTCTGTGCACTCAAAACAGTCCTGTAGAGCTGCTATAACCTCATCTGTTCACAAACTTTTTATCAGCTGAGTGTAAATAGGCAGGAGAAGCAGGGAAATATGGTCTTAGGATGTAGGAGGGCACTGTAACTGCCCATGAATAATCATGGAAACATAGTCTAATGTATTTGTTCCCCTGGTGGAGTTTAGGTAAAACTGTTCAGAGGTCTTTTTGATTAATTACATCTACAGGGATGTAAACAGCAGCAACAAAAATAATGGTGAATTCTCTGGGCAGGTAATATGGTCGACATCTTAACAATAAAAATTCCACATCTGGAAAACGTTGTGCACTCACTTTGAATGTGTTTGATCACCAAGCATCATTTATATAAATACAAAGTCTGCCTCCTCTGGTCTTACCGGAGTCTTGTGTCTTGTGCAGTCTCTGATTTCACCATCTAAAACTAAACCCAACTCAGCTATAGATTACATTGGCAGTGTAACAACTTCTTCTATAGCTACAAGTGTTACCTCTCCGTTCTCCAGAGGGTGAATCTTTGAATAAAAAGATGTGCAGATAACTTCATCATCTCTGGTGTAGGATGGAGGTCCTGTCCGTGGATTAATGTTGAACCTTGTCAGGCACTCTGTGTCTGTGATGGCGAAGTACTGCCAGGGTTCAAAGGTCACACCATCTATTGAACGCTCTAAGATCCAGTTGCCTGTGGACAAAAGTATTGGTGAAGAAAATAATGAAATGAAATGCTTCAAACGTGTCATGTGCAAAGGAAAAAATATCAATAAAAATAATGATGGACATCCAAGACTGTGTTTAGGTCACCCTACTTAAAATACATAGAAAATTGACAGAACACTCAATTCCACATATTTCTTGACAGCTTAGAACCACCTGATAGTCCACCTCCTGAACTGATTGAATATAAAGTGAAGGGAATCCAGTTAATGGAAAAATCTAATAAGCAAATTAGACGGCACTATGAAACACCAAAAACCTATAAAGATATGCCAGTTATATTTCTTTTATTTAAAACTTAGCATTAACATTAGCTGATGCACAAAATCAGGCCATCTTTATGCATTTTAAACCTAATTTTCAAATATTTTTATCCAGTCACCATTAACCTTGTCTTTGTTTTTAAAAGGTTTAAAGGGATGTGTAAACCAAAAATTTGCTCTCAAATCTTTTCATGTTGTTTTATTGTTATGTCTACTTATGAACACATGGATCAGGTCATGCTCGTTGCATGATCAACTTCACTTAGTGATATTCATGAGTTTTCCTGCCAAGAGACAATCAGACTCAATTTAGCAAAGACATGGTTCCTGTCCCACTTTGTTTGTTGATATAAAAAATACAATTAAAAAACATGAATACAAAAGTTCTGAATTTTAATATGAAATATACTGAAGAAGAATGTTAAAACACTTCTCACAGTTTCACAAAATTGCTTCCAGTAAAAACCTCAAAGGCCAACTGCTGTCTTTAACCTTTATGGGAAGCATGTCTAGCTCGCTGCTTAGCTGTGAACCTACATGCATAGTGAAAGCAGAAGACAGTTACTGAGAGTAACGCATAGTAACATTTAGAGATAATAAATCATAAGGATTGTTGATGTTTTGGATGCTGTGTTTTAAACTCAAAGAAACATCTGCACATAAAGAACTTTAAAGACTAAAGTAAAAATTCAGTTTATTGAGCGGAATCTTGCTCTTTCAAATTACTTGTGGATTACTTACTGTATGTAAACATTAATTAGACACAGACTAAAATAAGGCGGTATCTGGCTCTTCAATCAAAATCATAATCAAAAGTCACTGTTTCATTTTATAATAATAAAAGTAGTTAAAACCTGGAAATTTGATGGGCTGCCTAAATACAAATTATGAGGCACAATGCTTACCTGGGCGAGGTGAGTTGGCTGACTTTACAATCACATAGGCGATCTGGAAAACCTGGAAAACATAGAGACAGAGACAACCTGTAATATTCAAGCACCTGTAGAAACTTTGGTTTCAAAAAAAGGGGGGGGTGAACCCCTCCTCCCCTAAATTCAGTTCACCAATACTTTTAATGTACACATTTACATTTAGCTGACGCTTTTATCCAAAGCGACTTACAATTGCTATACATGTCAAAGGTCGCACACCTCTGGAGCAACTAGGGGTTAAGTGTCTTGCTCAGGGACACAATGGTGGATGTCTCACAGTGGGAATCGAACCCGGGTCTTATCTATGCGCCATCACCACCCCACAAAACACAACAAAAAATTATGACCCAAGTTTACCCACTGAGGTTAAATAGCTGAGTTTCCCTGCCAGTCAGTCAGAACTGAAGAAGTCCTTTGGATGAGGGACGAAACGTCTTCCAGTATGTTCAACCAAGTCCAGTTGCCCTTGATTTTAACCTTCGTTGGATATCTGAGTGTAGTTTCAACAAAACGAATACGTGGACCTTTTGAAAAGGTTAGACTGGTTTAAATTCACTAACTTGTCACACAGATATTATAGCTGTGTCTGAAATTACTCCATTGTTTACTCACTCACTACTCCCTATATAATAGTCACTGCTGTTTTCTCTGTAGTGTGCAGTTACTTTAGATTTCTGACACTAACAGGTGTAATGTCAAGCATAAAATATGCCAATATGCCAATAATGCTTTATTTTGTATCATTGTAAGAATTTTTGAGGGCACTGTATAGTGCAGACATTTCACACTCAGAATCTGCATATGGCAAATAGCCTATAGGTCACTATATGTTAGATAGGGAGTGACGTTTTCACACATATAAAAATTGTTCAATTTACTGCTACAAAAGTAAACAGGGTCCACTCTTGGTGATTATAGTCCAGACTGTGCATAAGTCAGTAGAAGTTGTAAAAGAAAATGGGGAGGACTGTGAAGTAACTAAAAACTTTGGTGAATGTGAGGGCTACATACAGTATGTTTATTATCAGATTTTTATCTGGATTTTATTACTGATGTATCTTCATCTTCACCTTTTTAATACACAGAATAAATGCTGAAACTACCAGATGTTTGTCAATAAAATACAATGATCTTTGTTTAGACTGACTTTCCTTCAATTTGATCACCAACAAGACAGTCAAAAAAACATTGGATGAAGGTCAAATGTTGACTTTGTCTGTCTTCACCACCCCGTCTTTCACTTTGTCCTTTCTCTCTGAGTATATCTCTCTTTCTTCTCGTAATGTGGGAAGCAGTGTCACATTGCAGCAATTAGAATAGGGAGAAAGCTACTGTGTGTGCGTGCGAGAAAGTGTATTTCAGGGTAACCTTATAGCAGTCATTCAAACCTACTACAAAGAGTCAATGTTACCTGTATTCACACCGAGGATGGGATGGTGTGTGTGCGCACGCACATGTGTGTGAAAGAGTGAGAGAGTGTGTGTGTGTGTGTGTGTGTGTGTGTGTTGAGTCTATAAGAGAGCTCTCAGTGGTAGCTTGTAATATGGTGACAGCTTTGGGACAGCTAGGCAGCTCCAGCAGCTAAACATAGATGAACACAGCTAACTAATGCAGTGTGCGTGTGTGTGTGTGTGTGTGTGTGTGTGTGTGTGTGTGTGGTTGCAGTGCATCATATTCTATGTTTTGATCAGATGTGGATCAGATGAGAGATTTTGCCTCTAAAGCTCAAGACAGCATGAACAAATAAACACACCAACACTATCCTGCAAGAAATCACACAGCCAATAAATAAATGTTTATCTTGCACCCATGATATTAAATTTCAGGTAGGTTTGTTTATGATGAGTTTATGTCACGAACAGATCATATAATAAGCCTTTGGCATAAAATTTAATTGGCTGGATTCTTTTTCAAACAGATTTTTGCAGCTTGGTTTGGCAATTTTGAGCTTAAGCTATAAGCTCAAACTAGCAGGGTGTCTGCAGGTTTCATCAGGTTACATTTGAGGCCTTGCGTTAGAATGAAGCAAACAAAATGTCATCTCACATACCTCACGTAATATATACAACACAATAGTATCTAATACAATAATACAGTATTATTACTACAGAGTAAAGACATTTCAAGACAAGTCCAGTCTTGGTCACTTCCCTTATAGGACAGATTGATTGAACGGAAATCTCCTTTTTACAATCAAAATTATGACAATTTTTTAAATACTTTATATTATTTAAATAAATATTTGGAGAAACAATAGAAATGCTCCTTTCGCCTTCAAGCCGCAATTTGGGTGTGTCTGTATTGTCTTTGATTGACAGCCGAGCTAACAGGGGCATGAATCACAATGTCAATAAACTTAAGCTAATAACTAAAGCATATAAGACAATTTTTCTATTGAGAAATGCTGCTTAAACGCCTCCTGTGTAGGCTGGTGTCTAGCTGTTAGTTTCATTATCAGACTATGACAGGTGAGATTACTACTGCAAAATGAAATTAAATGAAACTATATGCAAAGAAGGTCTACATAGAAAAGGAAACGGCATCCCAACGTGCCAACTGGGTAATGCACAAACAAAGGCATGAAACTTTCTTTCTGAAACCATAAAGTATCAAATATTAATTTATTTCTTGTGAGTACTTGTTTTATATCCAAAGGAGAGCACAAAGCAGATCTGCATGCTGTAAAAAAAGTTTAGTTGGACTTTAAAGTGGTTAAGTTAAAGAGTGAAACAATCGGTTCCTCATTTATCCCCAGATGACATAATGTACTCTCTTATCTGTACTTTGTTTTTGCACTGATGAATAATTCTGTGAATCTAAAATAAACAACTGACTGAATTTGCTTATTTTTATATTGCACATTACTTCAGATAGAAATGTTGAGATCGCAGAGGAGTGGATGTAAATTATTCAGTAAGTCTATAAAGGCTACAAAATTGTGTATATCTCCAGAAAAGTGGCTGCTATTTTTATATCTCACAAGTGTTTTTTAATACAATGAATGTTCATTTCCACATAGTTCTCTAGCATTTTATTGCAAGCACTCTTACACATTTGACGGGAAATAATCATGATATGCAAGGGAACCGCCATTGGCTGATATTTGAGCATAACAGCCAAATGAGCACTTAAAATGTTTATTTTAATGCTCAATCAACCCATTTAAGCCCTGTGTCCAGTATGGTTGGGTTGCCTACAATTAAATGGACTGTGAAGAATCCATTTTGTCTCAACGTGATTTGGACACAAAGTGACAGCGGTTTTACTGAACAGCTGGTGTTTACAGGCCATTCGCATGGAAACGTGTTAAAATCTCTCTGGCCTGATAAACAGGCATCAAACTCCAATTCCAGTTAGTGCTCCAGCTAATTATAGCAGGATTTGTGCACAAAAGCACAAAAAACTGGCCAGAAACAAAGTGGAATAAGATCTGAATGAGACACAAAGAATTGAAAACACTGACAAAAAACATAAACATAAACAAATTTAATTATTTTTTGTTTTGCGATCTAGACATAAACACATGCCGACATGCAGACAGACAGGTGGAAATGCCATCAGCGCAACAGACCTGGTATGCAGACTTGTTAAAATTTACTGTGACTTCAAATGAAAATGTGTTAACATCTCACTGGACTAATAAAGTAGCTTTTGGCCCATTTTTACATAGTGTGAATCCTCATGCATCCCTGACTGCCAAACTTAGTGCAGGCAAACAGGCAGGAGATATTCACTGGAGCCAAACAGTCATCTCATTGCTCAGCTGCCACTAAAAACAATTTGGAGAGCTGTTTTGGATGCTGCAGCATTTTGAATGACAGTTTCTTGACAGCTCTGCAGCAAATACATTAAAACAGAGTTCAACATTTAATGAAATTGCAAGAACAATAATATGAAATATAACTGTTTTTGCATTTTCACATCGACCTAAACAGCGGAGAGGCTGCAGTGGAGTGCAGCATATAAAGACGGCCTCTGGATAAAACTGAGAAATCTGGTCTGGTGTGTAACAGTATTTGAATTCTATTCTCTTTAAGTCTGCCTCTGTCTGAACTGCCAAAAACACACACAAATAAAACAAATGCATACACAAACACGCTCGCTCACAGACTTGGTCGTAATTTGGCCTTAAGCTTTTTAAATAGGCTTTAGTCTGTACAAAACACCAGATGCTGCAATCTCTCCCACATTCTTGCTTTGGCCTGAGCTACTGTCTAACATAGACCAACAATGTTTCATTGGGCAGAGCAGATGTTTCATTTACCTTCTCTCTGTAATGAATAAGATATTTTTCTGCTTTTAAAAGCTCTGACCATACATATACACACATATGCATAAATATATGCTTGAAAGAAAACATTTTCTTTCAGGCATATTTTATAAAGCTATAACTATGGTAGGTACAGGCTCACTGACTCCTTATAAGGACTGATTTCAAAAGCCAATGGACTCCAGGCTCAAACATTTGCCCTATTAAGGTGTCCTTGACCAGGCCACTGTCTGTAGACTGTAGTAAATTAGGCTGTGATTTTTTTAAGTTGAAGATTTAAAGGGTAAGTAGTAGTAAAGGGTAACACTTTTGGTTAAATTCAGCAAATATTTCCTCATGGTTTGCTAGCTTTCCATTTTGTGTGTGCTCTGAAACAACATTGTTCCAGCCAACAGGTGGCATTAGTGCTTGTGCACAGGAGCAGTGGGAGAGAGAGTTCTATATACCAGCACATTCGAACATGCTGGCCTCCGAGCAATGTCAAGAAGGAGAGATGGCCAAGAAACAGCCAAAGAGAAAAAAGTCTCAAGAGCAGTTTGAAATTTGAGGGGCAGAGCTTCAGCTTCAGAGCTCCCTTTAAGTTTAAAGCTACAATATTCAGTGATATGGATTGTAGTGAACAACGATGTGGATTTGTGCATTTTATATTGAATGAATGTGGAGCTACCCTAAATTCCTTTCTCCTCCCCAGAGAAGATGGGGAGGGGTCAAAGTTGCTTTCTCTAAGTGCTAGCCCGACCATAAAACTGGCACCA